CCACATGGGCGGCAAGCCACATGGGCGGCAAGCCACTCCCATCCAGTCACATGGGTGGCAAGCCACTCCCACAAAGGAGGCCACACCCACAGAGTAGGTTCGAACAATTTTTGAAACCCACTACAAATAACATTTGTACTGATTACGGCCAATTATATTTTGCTGATTGATCCCCACACAAAAATGCATAAGTTCATTCATTCATTGATTGATTCATTCCAGCAAGATGTCCTCCTTTGGCATAACATTCCTTTGGTTCACCGCATCATCTGAGATAACAAATGTGGACTCCTATATTTTCATTAATGAAAGATAACCTTTATTTCATCACCATGAAAATGGGCTGATTGGTCACATTTAATACATCTAGCATAAGGCATATTCTAAATCATCTCCATATAAAGGACATTTCAAATAATGAAAGGGAGATCAAATTGCTTAACTGCTTGCTAAGATCATAAAATCCTCAAAATAGAACTAGTACCTTATTTATCTCTTCTTCTCTCTTTCTAGAATCCAACAATCTAGAATCTCATGAGGTGTATATTTTCCACATCTTATTAGATATTGATAATGTTAAATATCTAGCTTTTAGGTCTCCATTGGGCCAATTTATCATTATCCTTAATGATAAAATAATGGAATATAGCCAACAATCCATACTTTTCAATATATTTAAAAAAATAGTCCAAAGAGAAAAAGAGCATTTAATTAGCACTAAATGTAAAATAGTGCATACATGTGCAGACAAATCCACAATTCTGAGGATGAAATCCCTGTTGAAAGTTCTGAGTAAGACTACAAGGAATAGGAAGAAATAAGAATGACTGACTAGAAAGCATTATCCTGGAACAAATGATGAAACATTTATACAAGCAAGCTACAGCAGTAAATCCCCTCCCTCCTTACTACTTTGACATCTGCTGGAGGTCTAACTCAACTAAAAATGGAACATCCAATAAATGTTTTGATTTGTCCTGCTGTCAAGTCTATCTCTCAGAAGGTGGAAGTAGGGTCAAGAAGAACTATTGTCCTCCTGAAACCTGACCATCAGGGAAGAATTGGTTGACAGTGAATGTTTGGCAGAAGCAATGGGGGAAAAGGGACACTGTCACTTTGGAATTTGATAGCAAGAG